GAAAAAAGTTGTTTTTCCTTAATATATTAGGGGATACACCTGATTTGATGCATAGGTTAATAAACTTTATCACTGGGATAGCCAGCAGCGAAGTACAACTTTCTATTTTCTATCTACAACTAGCATCTGATCCTTAATAAACAACTTCGATTTACATTAAAAAAGAGGACATCGTACTCTATTTGGTAGATAATAAACGGTAAAGTAGTACATACGAAAATACATTTTTGCTGTGTTTAATGTTCAACGGTAAAATTGTCCCGAGGAAGAACGGAATCGCGTTACAAACACACGTGAACCGAAAGTGCGGGGACTAATATAAAATTAGATGGTTACAGCCGTTGTTCATCAGGTTACACTTAACTTAGTTCTTAACTTAAAATTTATTGAAGAACTGCTGCATACTAGCTTAGAAGGTTTCAACGCAAGTGCACAACAATTCTGTGTATATAGAAGCAGGGCGATAAATATCTTTACTGAGAGTGTTAGTAATTTATTTTCATGTTTAGACATTTAATAATGTTTACAAACAGAACTCTTTTAAAACAAAGCAATCTACTAAAAGTAGTAGAATTATTACAAACAACTATTGCGATATGCGTGTCTCATGACCAAAAATTCAGGTAATTATGAAAACGTTCAGTCAGGGAAATTGGATTCCTATGTTTCAGTTCAGACATTCTGATCCCTAATTGCTTAAAATCGAACAAATTTACGGTAGGCTAACAAGGACATAAACTAAATTAAGTTGTCAAACACTTGTTGTTTTGATCAGTATCAATATACTCGCATACATAGGCATTTGGTAAACGATGCATACATTTGTTAAAACTCATACAGACCTAAAATCAAAATTGACTCCCAGTCAATTTAAGAAATAGTATTTGACGTCGTAAATTTCTCATTAGCCTATATAACCTTCTGTGCATAACAGTAAACGCAAAATTATTATAAAAAGCTGCTGCTCTGTGAGATACGGTTGTTAGTGGGTGAATCATCTTGTTGACAATGCAGCATAGCAACGACTACAGTTAGGCAAGGTAAAATTAACATAGAATTTTCTTTATAGGAAGCACGCGCACAATTAAACATGCTTACGGGAGCAGATGTTCGATATGATCGACCGTTGAATGGCTCGCCCAAACACAGGCCATTGTATATATATATATATATATATATATATATAGTTTAATAGTAGATTCTAGCTAACGTTTATTGACAAATCTAATCTTCAGAAGATGCGAATCGTACCGCACGTCAGGCTGTTTCGAGGCGCGTAACATAAACATAACAAGGCTCATATTCTAAACGCGTTTTTTGTCACGCTTGGATTGCGTATTACTTATTCATAGTTAGGTTCACGAAATCGAATACTTATTCATATCGTAAACCAGTCACTTGTTAGGTTCCAGCAAAGATAAACATTTCTAGGCATTTATATTACTGGGCGGAATAGAGAATTTATTATACACTAACAAGGCAAGGGTTTCCAGGCGCGCAGGTACAGAATCGTCCGTTGTTCTCGTTTTTCACCAAAACAGAAATCGGAAACAACTAACTTCATTTGGACCTTACAATATGCTGCAAACACAACTTTACGTTTTGTTTTCGCAGCCTATAGTGAGTCAAAAAGCCACACGTGCGCGAGACATGTTTGAATAAGGTCGATGTTGTTTCAGGTTAATCTTCCTCCATGCATAAAGGGCGATGATGTTCGAGGAGTACCTGGCGCCGGAAGGCTGATTGGCCGGTAGCCTAAGGCATGCATCCGTAAGACGTATTCCGGCCATGCTTGGCTGTAGAGACCCAGATCAGAGCGCAGGCAACTCTTCAGTTCTGATTGACCCGTACCGCTAAATGCTGAACTGGTACAATCTGGCGATTATGCATGTGATAGGCTAAAGCAGGCTGCTAGGGATCCTGCCATAAGCGTCCTCCTCTGTAGGTAACCAGTCAAAACCGTGTGGCCGCCGAATCAAGAGCGGAGCGCTATTTCGCGCTCTGTAGAGGCGCGTGAGGAATGTGGAATGCTCGAAAAGCACTCGTGGCATTTAAAAATATGCCATGGGAATGCCCTAGTTTGAAAAGGGTTTCCGGATTTTTGACTTTTTAGAATACTATTTTGGTTTTTCGCAAAACAGTTGTAGCTATCGTAGATAGCAAACAATACACTAGCTGTGAAAAGGTGGTTCTTGAAAACATCGCGTGGGAATAAAATTCCAGGCATTTCATCGTCTGTCTTTGTAGGATAGCTGTCGGAAGGATCGTGTGTTAAAGGTAGCATTCCCTTTAAGAGTCAACGTGTAATACCTATTGACATAGACTGCTTAAAATACCTGCATAACACACATTGTTGTAAAGTATAAATGTTGCACAACGCTATCGTATTTACCGACGATACTGCCGCATACCCTTCAAGACATTTTTCCTATTTTGTACTTTTTGTCAACTAGTATGTATCTGTTGCACCCCCTACAAAACCGTCGTGGAATAACCTTTTGGCATTTCGGGTGCACTAACAGCGTCTAGACACAAACATGATTGCTGTTCCTAAGCCGACAGTTGGATGTGGTGAACATTCTGCTTAGCTGGCAGGCGATTCGCCCTCTACAGAACATCTTTCCTCTAAGCGGAGAGTGTTGGAGGCTCCGTGCACAATATGGCTGGAAGTTTTCTGGAATCCATGTAAGAGCTAATATTGAACCGTCTGGAAGATCGCACCAGAAAGAAACGGCCATCCGGGGAAATGGCGTTTTTGGAAGGGGTGAAGCGGTTGCCAGTCAGGTAATGCGACCATGTTGTTTAGTCGAGGGTGTAGCACCTTACAGTTCTCTTCATAAATCTCACATACATGGATATATTGTTCCCGAAAAACAAAACAAAAAAAACGCGTAATATATCGTAAATATATATATCTTTGGTATTTACACTTTAAATTACGCAATGTATCGCATGCGTGTTTGAAGCATGTTTTTTGGTGTCGTTATTATCATTCAGACGTGACTGCTGCTCTTGCTGATCAGAGAAAGCCTTAATCCAATATAGCAGAGTAAAATAAGACGGTGTACAGTAAGTAGATTAGCATTTTTCCTTAAAAAGTTTGGAACCTGCTATTTTAGAATAGTTTGTCGTTTCGAATTAGGAAAGAGATGTAGCCACAAATGCAGGCTTTGTCCACCCTTTAACTCTTGAAATCAGATAATTACACGGGCGTCTTTGGATGTGATTCATGATCAATTATCGGTATGAAATGCATGTTACAATAAAGTGTCAGTTTTAAAATATTGATACTTTTCTAATTCATGTTGTACAAATCCTATGAAGTCGTTCAATATTAACGCAAAATAGAAATGGAAATTGCTTGCGTTCATCAACAGCACCCGTGCACACTTGTTCCAACAATTAGCCCGAACTGTTTTGGCACTAATGCTTTTATTGGTACTCGTACTCTTCTTCGTTACAAGGGGCACGTTTTTGACATCTGACGATCCCTGTGAGGTGACTAGCACAGAGCTGCCCAAATCAAGTTGTATTTTCGATACTACCGTTAAACCCAGACAGTTGACCCATTTCATTTGCAATATATATCTCCCGTTCTGGGCAACTGATATGAAATGCATATTAATGTATAATCGGCGTAATATTTTTCGGCCACTGGAAATTCTATTGGCTCGGTCACAGTTGGTTCGGCCCGTCCTAGTCTCTTGTTTCAGCATTGCGCGCCTCTGTGAGTATCCTAGTGCACTTAGGTTTCTTTATTAATGGTTATACATGCGCAGTTTTGGATTCCTTCTACAAAGCACCAAACAGTTGCCTAGAATTTCACTTCCGCTTTTAGTTACTGATCTTCTAAAGTCTTCATATAGTTGTATTTAAAAATGGTGTGAGTCTTGTATTAAGAAAGTCCGTATTGAAATCTCTAACACTCTGACTGGTTTCTAATTGCCGAGTTGTAGGATCACAACTAAACAGCCAATTAGGGAAAAGGCGCTTTGAATCAATATTCAGTCATCTAGTATAAAATATGCTAATCCGTTTAGCCCAAAATACACAGTCAACAGCTCAGCCTGGGTCTTAGACGCTAGGTCAGACTTCCGGACTGTTTTCCACTTGTGGCATTATCGCCAAGTGCCCCCTAGTGAGTAGCGACTTTCACGATATCTATTAATATGGCAAAGATACACGCCGGAAAACGCTATTAGATACTATACTCGGCTTGCACACAACAGTATTTCAGAAAAAAAAACGTGTGATTAGGTAAATAAAAAAAAAGATGATCAAATACGGTGGTCCGAGTTGCGCAGGTGGTAGTTTGAAGCTTATCGTTAGAAGTTACTACTGGTGATACTATAGCGTAGTACTATAATTACAACATTACTATAAACGTCTCTTTCAAAGTGAATTTTATCGAAGCTAGAAGAATCAAAATAAAGAACAGTTTTTAAGACCTTTTATGAATTTGTGTCCCATCTATTATTTGATATTATTCCAGTGAAAGAATCGGAAGCACGGGTAATATCATATCGCATACTCCCCTTGTAGCTCTAGTTTCGTGTCAGGACCGGGCTCCGCTTACGATGGTAACACTGAAAAGTATCTTGATGTTGAGTCGCAGGGCGCTTCGGTTTGTCATATTTGCCGACAGAGAAAATGCCAAGGAGCTCAACACGCAAGTAATAACCACTATATCTATATATCATTAATATTTACATTTCACCTTACTTTCGCTCTCGTTAAACAGCAGTTATAACTTAAAACAATTAATGCTGTATTTTACGATAAAATCGTGCGGTGTAGTTTTCGAACGCTAATCACTATTTTTCGCTTACCCAAATAAATTTGATGCCGAAGGTTGAATGGTGCGCAGCTTCAGTGTTTTTCCAAAGGATCTATACGTTGAGGCGAGACAACCGCGCGTTTTACCTGTATAAACCATTTTATTATCACATGTATGTCTATTTCAACCCTATCATTTAGAGGAACTCGAGTGATGACTAACCGCTGCGTCCTGTAGAATGAGATGATTCTTTATTGGAGACACGCATGTGTGGCGCTGAAAAGCGCAACATTTGCAAAAAAACTTGTTTGTGCTTCGTTTTTTCACCGCAGATTTCCCGATTTCCTCGACGAATTCGCGCGCGAGCCGAGTTTTCCATACTTCCGGTCGAATTTCCTGCCAGCGCTCGGGAGTCTAAGGCGAAGGACATTGCTCGAAGGAGCAGAATATCAGCTGCACAGGGTCAAGCAATGCCCGATGTCGGCTCAGAGTGGCAACAGCTCTTTAAACCATGTTCCGCTCAGCGACTTTTTCTACCAGATCTTCTTAAGGTACTTTTGTTATTTTTGTCCTTCTACGCACTTTTTCCGAACCAAATGTGTTGACTAATTATATATTATGAATAGAGAACTTACTTTGAAAGTTGTAGTAACTACTGTACCACTTTTCTTGTTCGTGTAATCTTTTTATAGCGTTGTGGAATATTAGAATTTATCGTATCGTATCGTATTATCTAGATCGTAATTACGGAAATGATTATAAAATCGACTCGTTTCTATTAATGCATATTTTATTACTCTGTGCAAATAGACTGAAGATTCAGTGCTGTATGTGGACACTGATACCGTTTTTCTCCGTCCGGTTGAACAGCTTTGGAACATTTTCGGAAGAATGAACGAATCACAAATCGCAGCCGCGGCTGCCGAAAGCGAGGATGAAAAGTCAGGTATAAGAATGGATTTTTATCTATAATCGTTATTTTTTTAACCTTATAAGTGCATTAATGACGTAATACTTGTATATCACAGACCGAATTGAAATAATTCTAAATTTAATTGTGTCGGTGAATATCAACATAGTACGTTAAGTCTTGGAGTATTTGAGGCTTATTTTTATAGTCATTCTCATTTCGCAATTTCTTACAGTCATTTTCTAATGTTTACTGTTATAAGACAAGTTATATAGATAACAGGATCCGTATACACGCAATTCCTACAGGGTGGTACTCCCGGTTAGCTCGGCATCCTTACGTTCGACCTCGAGGGGTAAATTCGGGTGTGATGCTTTTGAACCTTACACGGCTCAGAACTTTCGGCTGGTCTCAGAGGGTAGCGTCAGTGTATGAGCAATGGCGTGAGCGTGTCGTCTGGGGAGATCAAGACATTATTAATATTGTTTTCAGCAATTATTCCGGTAAGTATTTACTAGTATTTAGATAGCGTAACATATGTTTCGGTTGGGAAGATCAAGACATTATTAATATTGTTTTCAGCAATTATTCCGGTAAGTATTTACTAGTATTTAGATAGCGTAACATATGTTTCGGTTGGGAAGATCAAGTCATTATTAATATTGTTTTCAGCAATTATTCCGGTAAGTATTTACTAGTATTTAGATAGCGTAACATATGTTTCGGTATTTTTAATATCCCTTAGCTTAAGCGATATTACTAAAGATATGTTTACGATTTACTAAATAACAAGAACGATATTGCTTACGAAATTCTAGAAATCGCTCGTTGATTTTAAACGAACTGTATGGCTGAACATTATGATATAATAGAGCTGTGCATTCAATCATGGGGCCCATGGGTATTTTTTTGAATCAATTGCAGAAGTTGTGTATATTTTGCCCTGCGAGTGGAATTTTCGTCCAGATCATTGCCAATATTCAACTTCCTGTCGAGGCGCCAATCGACAAGGACCCGGATTGTTACATGGAAGTAGGGCTGTGTTCACTAACAACAAACAGCCCGCTTTCCGGGCCATCTTTAAAGCGTTCCAACAGTTTACATTTCGGAAGAAAACCACAAAATTGAAATCTAGGCAAATAACAAAATCAAATACTCCGATCAGCGTGGTCCGCGCACATAATTCTATTGCTAATTACAGAGACAAAAGGCAATTGTCTACAAATATAGCCTCACCGGCAGATGTCGTACGTACAATAAATGGTAGGCGCGACGGGAGCGATGCTAAAAATGTACAACATCGTAAAACTGTGAATTCGCATAAGGTACGCGACTACGGAGGAAAGTACTTAAAATTCAATAAAGTTGCAATAAAGAGTACCGACTACGACTACATTGCAGAGGAAAGTTTCGCTCAAAATGGGGAAAAGAAGGGCAGGCAACTAAATGCCAAAGAAGATGACTTTAGAGAAAACCAAATCGTGATAGCGGATGAGGATGACCAATTGTCAATCAAAGAACGATTGATCAATCCTCTAACGATTGGGATATTTGAAACTGTCAACACGCGATGTGGCCGCTTCCTCAAAGCTCATACCAAACGAATTACTCGAGCATTGCACGCCAGAGCAGCGGACCTTTGACCTAAAAAAAAGTAATATTTTTATTAAAATGCTTCACTGTACCAGAAAATTCTAGTTTGTAAGTCAGGTTGGCGGGATCTAACCTCGGTTGCGCCAAGCTAAGTGAGCAAGCATACTGAAGAGACGAACGCATCTTGTGCGACAAATGACTTTATATACGAAAAAAATTACAACACCTGATTGAGTAGGCTTAGGACTGACATGGAAATGCTGTAAGTCTAGATTCACCTCACTTAGGTATCAATAGTAATATAAAGGCTAAATAATTAAGCTGATTTGGGTCTTACCTTTAAACCCAATATTGTTTCTATAAAAGTGTTTGCAACTCGCATAGGTCTCATCTACGCAAAAAATCGAATTAGCGAAAGCGGAAACCAAACGAAAAGAAGGACTATAAAAATAAGAGCTTCGGTTTCAATATGAAAAAACCGAACATATTTACAAAATGTCAGCCAGAGGAGAAGATGTACAGCAAACTCAGTACAGCAAACGTAAATGTAGGAAAGTTTACAAAAATGCTTGTACAGTTTTTTAGAACGCTGATGTTTGTATAATTTTATAAAACCCCTAAAATCAGATCTGCAAATTTCTTACAGAAGAGCAGTTAATTTTAGTGAATAATGACTGAAATAAATAAATATGGATATCAGTTTTCCGCAAAGAACACCTAAAAAAATCGTTTTAAAGAAAAACGAAGTACTTGATGCAGTGTGCGTGTTGGCTTTGATTAGTCTATTTCGAAGATTTACGAATAGAGCTTGTAGAAACAGTCACATCCGTCACAGTGATAATCGTCATAGAATTAGTAATTCACAGTGAAAAAAAATAAAACAGAAGTACTCAACGATTGTATATACAAGTGTGGTCTCCCTAGCGAAAGTGGAGATTGAAATAAGGTTAAAAAATACTATGTAAATAATTGTAAACAATCACCGAATGAACGTATATGATATTAATACAATTTGTACTGAAGCTAGTCTGATATAAGAGTGCCATTAAATATTAAAAATAATTTCTTGTCGTATTTGTTTTGACTGTTTCTTAATCTACGCAAGGAAGGTATCTGTTTGCACCGGTTGTAGGCTCCGCTACGTGTAGACTTTTCATTAGGATCAATTACTGATCTCTCACTTCTAAATTGGAATTGCAGGCATTACCAGCAGTAGAATACAGATATTTTGAGCTTAAAGCACCATCATACCTGTTAAAAATCTCGTAATTATGCAAAGGTTACTTCTACGCAGCAAGACACACGATTTTTAAACATGGAAATCGCCATTAGCTATCGTGACTCAGGGAATACTAGACAAAAATTGTGATATTTAAAACTAGATAAATAAATTTTCGAAATTTACCAATTTTTCGTTCCGCGGTAAAACTTCGCTTATCCGAGCATACATTATGTTGACCATCCCCTATATATCACCATAAGTAGACACACTAAATATTCGAACTGCCATATTTTCCAACAGCATTTTAGCTTTATTCTCGAAACATTAGAGAGGCTATTTACTTCGTAAAAATAATTCAGAAAAAAGTGCGCTTTTACTTTCACATTTGTGTAAGTCATATTTATTGCATTTGACACCAGAAAAGATATTTCATATAAATTGTATCTGCAAAAAAATAAAAACATTTACCGTTCTATTGTTCGTTTTTTACAATATGCTTCAGCAAACAATGTATCCTAAAGTTGGTGGCGCCATTAGCGATGCCGAGGGTCATTTCGAGAACTTACAATAACGGTAGTGGGCATCAAGACAAGCTTCTATAATAATGGAACGTGAATAAGCCTAATCGGCATTCCAACCTGTGGTTACAGTTATCCTCTCATTGACTTGATTTTGGTTTTAACTGATTCTTTGAATTGGCTGAATGTCGGCACCGACTGTAAAATTCCTCTTGATAGAAGCGCTCGGACTGTCACTCCGGTTACAGCGATAGTTGTAACATAACGGATTGGAGCAATCAACTACGCCGGTAATGAAAACACGAAATTAGTGAGAAGTCAAGTTTAGTAGAATGTAGTAAGAGCTAAAATAGAGATACGAAAATGTTTGTTAACTAGCAAATACAAGTTGTTGGTTTAGTTAGTCGTAGTCAATTAGTGCAACGTTATTACGTTCAGGCGTCGTTTTGCTTAAAAGTGTTAATAAGAGTTGCATGGAAATAGGATTATGTTCAACATTGACCCACATACAAGAAGTCCGGCAATTTTCTAAATACTGTATAGCTTTTTAACAAAGTCGAGAGCGTAAAATAAGCTCAATGAAGTAACTGCACCTTATATCCTGCATAACCAACTGCTACATGGCTGACAGCGGAGTCCCGTATAGGGTCGACATACTGCGCCGGAATCCCGATGAAATCCATCAAGGGAACTGGACTTATTCCCCTAGAACGAAATCCTTACCTCGTTATTTTTTGTTATTTGTGCTCCTAATTTTATTATTCTCCGTCACATAAATTAAGGTCTTCGTCTTAGGGTTGCGCTGTGCAATGTGCGAATAAATTCAGAAGCTCAATATACTCTTCACCCTTTAGCACTCCTACTTCCTCAATAGGAAAGCCTTCCATTTATTGTAGGTGTATGTGTACAATACAGATACGTTTTTATTGCCAACAGCAATTTACATCTGTGTAAGTTGCTACATCCTTCTTCCGTAGCTGACTCTCACCTGTCCTTTCCATAATGGGCCTATATTGCCATGTTGTACCGTTCTGCCTCAACGACCTTTTAAACTTTCGCTTAGTAAAGAAACACGCTGTAATCCGAATCAGGATCGCTAAATGAGATAGCTGTGCGTTACGGTACTGAGGTTAGCATGCCATTAGACCTGTATTTCTTCACAACTTCCTCAACTGAGGATCTCAATCGTTCTGTTCATCATTAGTGAATCGCGAGTCAAGAAAATCTATTTAGAGATAATTCAAATTGAGTCCCCTTCCTTGGCACAAATGAATAAAACCGAGCACTTCGTTGCAATGTGTACTATGCTAAAACATTGTTCCTTGTGATAACCGCGATATCCACTATAGGGCAGTGTTAATGACGCCTTGTGGCGATGATTGCAGCACTGTTTGCAGCAATAGACTTCCCAGGGCATCAAAAGGTATAAATGAATACGTACGCTTTCGAAAGATAGTAGAAGCAGAGGAAGTAGCCAAACGATGTAGTGATATGGACTGGTAACATGACATACCAGTAGCGCGCGAAGTCATCTTTGAACCTATATAGAGTCAAAATTCTCTATGTAAGATTAAAAAGACAATCAGCAAGAACCACAACACGTATGGGATTGGATACAACACCTAAATATATCTCCCGGACAGCGTCAGTTTATTTAAGACCAAATCTGCATCTCAAAAAACTGTCGCTCATATCTGGTTTTCTTCAAAACTGCGAAAATGGTCAACTGGAAAGCTTTAAAGCGTACGCGCTATATCTAGAGAAATGTATCGTGTCTCGCATGTTGCTGTTTATGCAGATCACAGTCGCCAGACGTCAAGCATGACGATTTTGGTGACAGCCTGATTAATTTATTTCGGTCTCTATATAATTAACGAATAACAATATGACAGATATTAGAAAATAGCAATTCGACTACCTTTGAAATAGAGTTCGATCTTCTCCAGACTTCGTGGGATTTTCTGATGTTTGAGCAGAATCCTTTGCATGTTTATTCTCGTGACTCAATGAAGTGTTCATATTGCGGGAATGAAGATCATTAGGAGTATAAACAATTTTTGGATCTTCGTATCTTAAGTAGAATCTGTTCGTCATAAGACATCGCGAACCTGAAAATCAATAAACAGTTCAAAATATTTATTGTATTATTTTATAAAGCAGAAATCATATGTTATCAATGTACGGTAATTGTAAGCGTATATACGTGTATATAAATAAGATTGTGAATATTTATATATTAGTAAATGATCATTAAATGCTTATGCTGATACACACATATAGAGACATGTCTGAATGCTTGAAACACCCGACCATCCTTAGAGTTGGTGCACATCATTAGTGCACACCAAGTAACATATTCTTTCGAGTTTCAAACACTCGTTGCTTTGCACTGTAAAGTGCACTATATATTTATTAAGGCGATTAACTTCCTTTCGCTATATACATACTAACACAGCGCCATGGCTAACCAACCATGCACGTACATTAGCTCATGGTCCGTAGGAATAGGAATCGTTGTGAAATAGAACAAAGAAAAACAAAAGAGTTGTACCTGAATAGTGCTGAGCAGATGAAAGCAGAATGCACCGAAGTACTGTAGAAGACCGTCTGGCAACTGCCAATACACGCAGAGCTCCACTCGAGGCCATTAAAAATTATCTTTTCAAGATAAACACATGGGTCCACGCAACATAAACATTAAAAAAATTGGCAGCTTAATCCCACCGAATGCATATACTATTATCACTAAAGATAGGTAATGGCATCACATGTCTTATCTTAACAAAGAACTTTTTAGTTCCATGATAATAGGTATATTAGCTATTTTGTACTTTTGATAAACATTTACTTTAACACGTGTTCCTTTACATTTAGGAAAAGTACGCCACACGGATGGCATCTGGAACTATGGCCCAGTTAACAATGAGCCTTTTTGTTTGGAAAATTTCGAAAAAAATATTTAGGTTTCCTTTCGCTACTGTCAGCTGTCGTGCGTCGTTGGAGCAAGGGCCGACCCGGTGAGGAAAGAGTGAAAAAACCCTTGGCGGGCGATTTGAATAATCGTCCGTAGTAAAAGTGAAAAGAATTGCAGCTGTAGTGGCAATGATCGATTGGAGTTCCAGTCATAATAAACCTTTAAGTCATATCACGGCTGAATGCATACATATGGATTCAACAGGGATCTTATTCTTGGATGACATACACTTCTGTATTGTCGGCCCTCCAGCTAAACAGAGTCGGTGCTCAGTTAGACGTACTTAAAAAGACTCAATCAAATGGTCGATTACTTAGAACTAAAGCGCGATCTGTTCAAACAATTTTTGGTTTTTCAAAACGGGATTATGGTGTTATTATATGGCATTTTATACTGGTGCCTTATATGTCGATAAAGACATTAGCAAACATGTTTACATTGCTTACAAATGACGTTAAATGTAAAACTGACATATCGTTATTCAGTGATGGCAGGCGTGATGATATCAGATTGTAGCGAGTCCAACAATATCTCTCCGTGCTAACACCTTGTATTATGTAACATAATTGCCATCTGCAGAAAGCGACTAAATGGTGATGTTTAACTGAGCTTGATTAATTTGAGTGCTTTTTTACTATTTTGTGCGTTTCCGTATGTGAAGCGTCGAAGTGGGAAGAAGAACAGCTGTCACTGAGGAAGTACTGCTTGGCAGATTGCGGTAGCATGCAAGGCGAAATTGCTGAAATGATTCAGGCTTACGAGCATGCAGTCGCCAACGCTGTTGGTAAGCAGAGAGAAAACCTCCCGCTGTCGTCATATAAAATCAGAATGAAGAATCAAAGCAAGTCTACTCTGAAGTGAGATGATCATGTGACTAGTTACAAACACCAAAAAGATAGTTTTGTCTCGTATTATGCCTTGCAGAGGACACTAAAGGACCGTGGATTTGCTGTATCGAAAATTATGCTTTGCAGCGGATACAAAAACGCTAGGCTCAATGCCAGTAGACCTTTTTGAGAAACTTCAATTGACAGAAACGTGAATGAAACGGGCCGCCCTCATTAAGCAAACCGAGTCAAAAGCTGGTCCTGGAAAAAAAGTCTATTTCTAAGACGTATCTGATTTTGAAATTCGCGGAAAAACATCTATCATGCCCTTAGGTGTGTTGACGAACAATTTTTTTAAAAGTGTATCGTGTCGAAAATCAAACATTCGTCGAAAGTTAAGCTGCGGTCCATGACTTTATCGCTGGAATGACACCATTTTACCTAAGGATTACGATAGCAACAGTAAGGAATGAAATTACCGAGAGTAGGACGCTGCCTCAGGTACCGCAATCACGCTCAGGTGCTGCCGTAATCTGTTAATTCGACAGGCCTCAACCTTACAGAGAACGCCCGGAAAACCGTAAAATTATGGAAAAAAAAAGACAGGAATTAACAAAAATTTCACATCTCTGTGCAAAATCACTGATATGCGGCAAACTGCTGAAGTACGCCTCAGATGTGATAGTTACTGCTGCAAGAAGCGATACCGCAAAATACTGATGTTCGAACTATGTGACATCGCTTCTCAGCAGTTTGAGAATGTTCGCTGATTTTTTTTTATACTGCCATTTTCATAGGCTGAAAACAGTTGGAGTCTATTTGATGGAACATCGACTACATACCACAAACTGCATATAAGAGCATCAGTTTCCTACAACTACACCTGCTCAGGTCAAAGTATCGATGGCATCTTCTATTATATAATAATAGTAATAAAATTGAATTATCGTGGCAACACCCAGTGAAACAAAGCTAGCTTTATAGCCATGCTTAGCAGTAATACTAATTTATAAACAAATCTGCTTGGAATGAAGCTTAAAGTCAGGCGGTTCGTCCGTCGGTAACAAAGTCCAACCGTTGGAAGGGCGGCCGACATTACCTTGGGTACATGCGTAGCCTAAAACAGGCCAACTGCCTGAGAGAAAACTAATTCGATAAACGATTCGTTTTCGAATACCAGTTTTGAAATAAACATCCTTTCATATATATATATA